CAAAAAATCGAGTAAGTATACTTAAAATCATCGACATATACTAATAGACATGCCTTAGAGATAAGAATTGTGGCACTCCAAAAGAAAGAGAGGAAACGGAGTTTCGGTCTATCTTTATCTCTCTCAAATTTATATGCCGTGCTTGTAATGAAAACTGAGCACCAATCATCTAGGAGGAAAGAGATAGTGCTAGACCGAAAGCATAGGCCATCTCTCTCACTCTTTTCAAACCAAAAAATTACTGCAGATTATACGCGTACGGCATGTCCATTAGTATATGTCGATGCTTAAGATCAAATAATGCTACTCAGAAAATGTGTCTTCGATGTTTATAATATATATTTTTACTAAGCTATATCTTCATTCATACTGTAAAATTTATGTAAACTTTTTGTATACATAGTTATAAATTTTCTGATGTCTAACAATATAAAGATAAAAGTTGTGTTAGCAAAATAAATCTAGAACATTTAGCATATTTTTTACACCAAGACGCCAATCCCTTCTGTCAATGAGTAATGACACATGAGCGGGAAACAGTCGAGACAATTTATAAGAATAACTGCCGCTTGTGTGCAGAATAACAATTATAATATTATTATTGTGTTTTACTTTATATTAATAAATTATCATTACCTTTATGTGTGTCTGAATGAGTGCCCTTAGTGTGCCCTTAGTAAGTGTCAGTGATGTACGAAATTCTACAACTAAGTCAGAAATATTTCGTGATATTGATATGAAAATTGTTTTTGCTTATAATTTGTGACAATTTAAAATAAATTAATAGATTTGTATTAAAAACAAAAAAAGTGTGTACTTGATATAAATTAAATATTTTTTTAGTGTTGCACATTGTTATTAAATTTTTAATATAACAAAATAAAAAAAAATAATCATAATATGTGTCTAGAATAGTTATATAACATGTAAGTTTGATATTCTATCTTTCGACTAGATAGAATCTAGATTTAAACGCTGAAAACTGTAGTTTTGTATGACTATAGTACTTTCAATTATCTGCTTTTTATTCCTTATCTGTATTGTGAAAAAGTAGCTTAATATATTGTGTTCGGTTACCATGGTAACGGATAGTAAACAAATCGCTACGAAGTCGAGGTTAGATTCTACGTATTCTGGACTTATAATAATATTCTAATCGTTCCTAAGAAATGGATCTCAATATATTGGACAAACTGCGTATTCTGAAGATTGACACGGAGCTGCGTCCCCAAATAAAGATGAAAGCTATGAGTAGATATTATTTCGTGACGCCTACGAATCCCGTGGAACAGTTCTTTGTATTCGCTTCCACTGCTGCGTGGCTTATAAGAAAATCTGGCAAAGACTTTGATCAACCGAACGAGGAAGATGATCCTAACGCAATCATCGCTAATATTCTAGATATTATACGAGAAAAAGATATAGCAGTGGACTTCTCCTCTCATAAACTCAAGCAAGGTTGCGGAGACCAAGTATGTTATATATTAAACGTGTTGGCTGACGAAGTCTTGAAGGTTGAAAACTTCGAATGGCTGAAACCTGTTGTTAACATAAATGAGTCGGAAGAAATTACAGATGATGTTGACCAAGTTGAGGATGAAACTGAGATAATTTTGGATAAAATCGAAGAGGAAATGGCGATTTATTCAGAAGAATCTGAAGGGGAGATTGAGAAAGAGGAAGAAAGAGATATCAACGTCACTACTAGAGTTCATGATTGGGAAGCTTGGAAATTGGAATTGGAAAGAGTTGCACCGGCTTTGAGATTAAAGATATCTATAGATGGAAGAGATTGGAGAGCGAGGCACGCGCAGATGAAGAGCTACAGAGATGAACTTACAGACAGATTCAAAACGACTGGGTCACAGTTGAATAAAATTTACAGCAACATCACATCTGTTATGGACAAAATAGGAGCAAGAGAGAATGTACTGAACGAAAGACTCGAACCATTTGTTAGGGAATACGGATCACTGTTGGACGAATTGAACAAAGCTACCAATGAGTATAAAGAAGCTAGCGTCGGCGTTACTGAGAGACAGGAAATATTGAACGAATTGACGTCCAAAGTTGAGAACATGAAGCAAAAGACTGAATCACGTGGTTCGTCAATGAATGATAATTCGCCGCTAGTTACAGCCAAAAAAGCCGTTGAAACTTTGAAGAAAGACATCCAAGAACTTGACTTCCAGATACTTATTCTGCTCTGGCTTTTAATTTCAAAGGAAAACCCGAAAAGTAACAATTATCTAACATACACTGAGACAAGATTCGTTGGCGCTGAAGTTTATTAGGTCTATATAAAAAAAAAACAAACAAATTAATTTAGAAATGTTTTATTAATACTAATGTTATAAAAATAATACAATGAAAATGTTGTTAAGCTTAAATTAAAATTATATATATATATATAGTTTTTTGGTATTACAAGGAACATTCATAGAAACGTAAAGGTACTTTTGAGATTGCTTTCATAATTATTATTATAAAATGCATGTACTTCACTAAGCGGAATGTGTGTACTTACTTTATGTCGAAATATATAAAATCTACGCTCCTTTATTTTTATTATTTGGATCTATATATATAAAAATCGATTGCTGTTTCTTAGTCTCGCTAAAACTCGAGAACAGCTGAACGGATTTATCTGATCTTAGTCTTGAAATATTCGTGGAGGTTCAGGGAAGGTATAAAAGCTGAAAAAAAATGATTCATTACTGGGAAAACAAATATATCAATACTGTGTACATGTTTTTTTATTGTAAGGTTAAACAAATAAAAATTAAGAAAATAAATGTCACTTTTTTAATTTCCGGAAAAAAAGAATATACCTAGTTTAATTTAGAATAGAGAAAATATATTAAGAAACTAGTTTGGGTGATTTTGTATAATGGACTTATTTTTATCTGTTATGTACAGCTACTTACTTACTTACTTGCCCAGTATAAACATATAATATGACATGAAGTATACTATAGTTAGATCGCTTTATTATACTATGTTCTGTTATTCAGTCTTGCTTAGTACAAGATACTATCAATAACATAGTTCTATATCTAATACAATATCATACATCAATAGACCCATCTCCATAACAATAATTAGTCAATACCCTAATGTTAGCTGTTGTCAGTTACTACAGTTCGAACATGGGCTGGTTCGACCGAGGAAGTACCACCCTCTCACAGAAGATCGGCGTGAAATAGTCTTTAATGGCTGCGTTTCGTCCGATGAGTGAGAGAGACAGTTGCCTTTTCCCTCCCTATCTTTGTATTTCCCTATTCCCACCCCTCCCTATTCCTCAACAATCAAGGTTCAATCACTCCCGCCCATCAAGTAGGCAGTCTGCTATTTTGCCACCTTTGTCATATAAAAAATCTTAATCTCACCTCATATGGGGCTGTAGCAGTTGACCATCTTATATAGTTAGTAGGTCGATGACCTCTGGGCCACTCTATTGATCTGAACGGTGATAGGTCTCCTATATGATTGATGGACAGTCTTGATAACAACTCCTCTTTATTCCGTGGTGGTGATGCTCTATACCTCTGAGTTTCAAACGCCGGTACAACCAAACACTGGAAGTATTAGTAAGTATAATAAGAGAAGAAACTTGTCATTCAATGGATTCATCATTAAGGTGCCGGGTTCATCTTTATTTGGAATATATCTAATTAATGAAAACTAAGATTTTGCAAACATTCATTTCAATAAAACTAATACAATTTTTTTTATTTACTATGAGTTTATAATTATTTTTGTTTTTTGATGAATTGTTTAGTCTGTGCGTGATCACGGTTGCTGCTAAGTAACCGAAACATCGGGAGTATGTAGTTCAAAATAATTATAAACGAGTATAAATTATAAACGCGCGTTAAACGCTCATCTCCACTGTCCAAGCTCCTCTCTCTACCAAACCAAATTCGAAAAGTACCTACCTCCTGTTCCAGCGCCGGACCGCGCCCTCTCCCAGTCGTTGTTTGACATGTGAGATTGGACACGGTCTGTCATTAGACCTAGGAGTTAAAGGTCCGCCTCTCATACATGAAGGCGCGGGTTCGATCCTGGCAAGTACCAATGTGATTTTTCCGAGTCATATGTACTTTCTGAGAGTATTATAAGTTGGAAATCACTAACCCGTCTTGAACAAGAGGGATGATGTGAGGCAGGCGGCCGTTCGTAAAAACAATTAGCCAAAACTATTTACAACATGTAAGGCAGACCCTGGCTAAAGCTGGGAAATGTCTCGAACGCTGTTCGCCAAATTTTTCGTGATAAAATTTCTTGATCTCATAACTCAAAAGCTAGTGAGACCAAGTACCTATAACATTTTATAAATTAACTCTTTGTTATTCTAAATATACCATCTTTGGTGAACTGATATATGAACACAAATTAGTTTAGCAGTAATTTTTTCTTTACTTGTGCTTATTCGTATTTCAGTACTAATCATAAGGCATCATGCTATTGTTTTACTAGTGATATTCTTTATTCAGTAAAGAATATTAATTCAAACCCCTTATCATACTCTTTAAATATTAAATTATTATATACTAGCTTTCCGCCCGCAGCTTCGCCCGCGTGGAGTTCGGTTATATCGCGTTTCCAAAAGAACCTTTCAGAAGTCTGGGATAAAAACTATCCTATGTTCTTTCTCATGGTCAATTCTATATTTGTACCAAATTTCATTAAAATCAGTTCAGTGGTTTAGGCGTGAAAGCGTTACAGACAGACAGAATTACTTTTACATTTATAATATTAGTAGCGATGGCTTGATGAACCTTAAAAAATGAATTTCGAGTGAAACAACTTCTCACATGAATATAGCATAACTGGTCATATTTTAAAACCTACTCAAATTCCCTCAGTATAATTATTGAATAATCCTAGTACAAATGAAACCAAAATGCAAATTTTTATATTTTTTTTATTCCAGACCTAATGTGACCACACTCATCAGTATATAACCAGTGTGGTAACACCAAGTATATGTAATGTTTTTAACGGTATGACTTCTGGTATCTGGCCCGAGCTCCCGGTCCTCCAAACTTCTTGGGCTCGCAGCGTCTTGGATCAGCGACTAACAAACTCCTGTCATACTGAACTAGGATATCTTTGATTTCCTTCTTTGAGGCCTCGTCGACGACTGCAAATGAGATATCTTTGATTTAATACATATGGTATATATTATAATATATATTTATGGCATTTAACATAATTTTGTATTAAAAATATTAATTAGTTGATGTATTAGTTATGCTTGGTTGGTGTTGTTAAGTAATAAGATATCAAGTATAATGTAGGTACATGACTTTATTATACTATGTTCTGTCATTCAGTCTTGTTACTTAGCACAATACATACATTACAAATTTATTATAGTTATATTGAAAACTACAAGTATTATCAGAAATTAAGTGATCTTTTTGTTATAGTACAAAGAATTTGGGAATATTAAAACATAGAAAATAACTGTAGTGTACATTTCAAACGAGCACGGCCAGTGGGTTATGTGCTGTTTGGTAATGCCACATTTATCTCCTTTCTCTGAAATGACTGACTCACATTGGGCAAGACAGCTTTGGAAAGAAAGGTTTGAAACATAAAATACATTTCAATACTTCAAATTATGATTACTACATCAGACTTAACAATAAACTTTTTTATTTCTTCATGTATAAGATATGTGACTTGAATTTTGATACAATTGAAGTATATAATGCATCAAGTCAGCGGTGGCCTAGGGCGCCGATTCGATCCTGATAAGTACCAATGTGAATTTTTCCCAGTCATATCTACTTTCTAAGAGTGTTTAGACATCACTGATCAATTCTGATTCCCAAAAGAATGTTGATGTCAGGCAGGCTGCCGGTCGTAAAAACAAATAGCCAAAACTATTCACAACATATAAGGCAGACCCTAGCTATAGCTGGGAAATTGCCAGGTAGAAGAAGAAGTATATAATACATTCACATTAAAAAAATATTGATATATTTCTCAAGTAACTTACATTTCTGGTAGAAAGCTATAAGTGCTTTCGAGATGGCTTGTCTGATGGCATAAACTTGAGCGACATGTCCACCTCCTTTTACGGTGACCCTGATGTCTACACCAGAGAACTTTTCCTACAACAGACGGACAAAAATACAAATAATATATGATTAACAAAACATATGAGTTATATACATGTTATAATTGATCAGCGCTTGTTTACTTCACTTGTAGTCAGTTTCGGAATAAGTTATGTTCATCATTGAACTTTACATAAAACTACAAAGCATTAACATAAGATTAATATATTTAAAATAAAAGTTAAGTAAATTATTAATTATGCAGAATTAATAGTCAATAACAAAGCGTTTTTAACATATAAACTGCAAATAAATGATTTTTAAGCATGAATTAAAGTGCAAAAATAAATAGTACTAATATTATGTACAAAAACATGTAAAGGTGGTTTTAATGTGTAATTTCAGATGATCTCACCTTTCCTAATAATAGGATTGGTTCTTGAAGTTTGTATTGAAGCAGACGGGGCTCCACTAAGTCTAGAGGGCGACCATTGACTCGGAGTACACCACGACCACGCTTACAGTATGCTACAGCGGTGGCTGTTTTCTATAATATTTATATTATTATTTAGTAAGATATACATTAATACATAATAAAATTAAATGATGATTGGTGTTAGATGTGATGATAAGGAGTTTATTTGATTATACTAGAGACTTGATAGGGTTACTCCTTTTCTGTATTTCAAAATATTGTACTATGATGATTGTAAGATATTAAAATAATAACTCTAATTGTATGTACGTAATTTATAAAATGTAGGGTAAACCGACATGTTAATTATTATTATTATATTGTCAATTATTACTTTCGTATGGACAAGAATACAAACTTTAGGTTTTCTGACCCAATAGGAGGCAAAATATGTTTCATAAAAGTATATTAATTTCTTTTATCATTGATCACAATTTAATTATAATTTAATGTTAATTAATAAAAAAAGGAATAATTGCCATGCATGCAGACGAGCCGCCGGCAAAAGCTAGTTTCATATAATATAATATGGACTAAGGTTATTATACACACGACGCGTTGTTTGAAAATATATCACGATGGGAAACAATTAACTGTTAAAAATTTTGTCACTTTTATTTAGACCACTTCCAAAGATTATATAACTTTGGGATGGCTGGGAAAATAAATTTTTTAATATCCTTTTCTATAACAGGCCACAAAACTTTAAGAGGTTAGGCGGCCAAGGCAGAAAAGGGTTTACAAAAGATCATTATAATTACTACTTCTCACAGCAAATATGATCGCAAATGTTGATATTGTTAACGTTAACTAATAAATTTGTTCAAAAATTATATTAAAACTATTGTTAATTTTGCCAACACGTGGATGCAGTTTACACAAAACTTACCTTGCGTCCGAATACTTGGACGGCCTGAATAGGTTCACGTCTCGCCTGAAAACACCAAAATCATTAAATTTAACAAGACAAATCATTTCAAAGTGTAAAAAATATTAATTTTAAACTGAAAAATAGAGCACGCACCTCTTGCGCGGCAGCCATTTTGACAGAGAAAGACTGTTGTCGGCACAGACTACCAGAATATTCACAACGTATTTTTGATCAACTTCAAGTGTCAATTTTAAAAAAATAATATCATTAACATATAAATATAAAAAAATATTTTAATAGATAATTGTTATCTCCTTCTTGTCTTGAATATAATATAATATGTAATTATTTATATTTTAATAACTCAACATCGCCAACAGTATTACGTATAACAGCGCCATCTAGTATCACGTATTAAAAAATACAGTCCATTGACCGGTAGATGGCAATAATTTTATTGTTAACATTCCTTAACATAGATGTCACTAGCATGGATGACTCACAAGTCCAACCCACTATGATTCAACGCATCACTGAATAACATTGTTTTGAATTTATATTCGCTGAACGTAACTGTGAGAGTAAAGTCGCGCCGGTATCGCTCGTTTATACAATGTGTCGTGAAAATATTATTCCCGTGCGAGTGTAGAACTTCAATAAAACAGTGTGAATAATGTACTGATACAAATTTGTGTTCTTTTATAAATGCTATCAAGCTGAAAATATTTTAGAATTTACTGGATTTCATATATAATTTAGTTGAAGGTAAGTAACAATACATATTTATAAACTTTGACACTTTTGCCGATTTATTTTTATACATTTATCCTAACTTATATCATTATAAATAAACTAAATACTGTACAATACAACGTATCTTAAATAGTTTTTTAACCAGTTTTAAACGAGGCGTGCGAAAACTAATTATTTTTTCGTATCAGTAAAAAGTGAGGTCTACGCACAAACCTATGTTTTTCTCGTTACAATATCGTGACTAATTGTTACGCAGTATATTGAAGTTAAAAGTAATTACCGCAAAAGAACCTAGTTAAAAATCATGACATGTACTAACTAGAATGGTATTAACTGAACCACTTAAATAACTGAATATATTTGATTGGTGTCGTCATTTGGAATCCAACGTGTATAATATTTATTTGTTTTTACATTTCTTATGACTTGTATAGTTGTTAGAAAAATATGTACACTTTTGTCTCATAAAGATGCGTTGCTTGTATGTGATTCATATTTAAGGTATGCTTAGCGTTCTTTGTACAGAAAACTTTTATTTTTGATCGATAAATAGTTTTAGAATAGCTTTTGATAATTTAAGTTGTAGATATTAATTACATTTGAGTCAGAAAAGTTTTGCTGTCGTAATTCTTTACGGTTTTATATTATTTTTTAAATTTAAATAAATATTTTCATCATTTTTGTAAGTTTAATGATTATTATATAGTTGTGTACTCAGGCTTAGTATTTTATTATTTGGGTAACTGTAACTATAATTTAAATCTTCATTATTCCATGTTTGGTTCCTTATTTAAGTTAGTATCTCAATTTATATGCGATACTCGACAGGAATAATAAGTAATCTTGTCAAAAATAACAAGTAAATTCTTACGACTTCGCTTTTAAAATCCTAGATAAATATGTATAGAAAGACATTTTTACATACTTTGTGCTATTTTAGAATCGCACCCTGGATACTTGCCTCAAATTAATAAGTTACATTACATACAAAAACAATGATATTTACGCTGATTATTCAATGAGAAACGAGAAAAGTATCCTTTGTACAATATACCTAAATGAATATTTCATCTTCTGCTAAGCAAGTAGCAAAAAGAATCATAGTAGGCAAGTCTTATTATATTGGTAAAAGATATTGTAAAGGGTTAATTTTTAATAATTATTCGCTATTGGAAATAAAGAACTATATGTTGTGAGTCGTGACTGAACAAGGAATCAAAGATTCACTCATACTTATATACTTATGTACATATATATGTAGGTATATATATTTAGTTATGAATCCGCTATGATCTCAGATATACGCAATGTGTTTTTTATATACCACATAGGTATTATATATAATATCCCTCATACTTATCTTCTTAACTTCTGACACGTCTCTAATCTTTATATATCACAGCGAGACACGAAGATTATTCACTTTATAGTAGTTTTAATAAGTTCAGTTTTATTATAACTTCGACTATAATAACCTTTATTTATAAAATTAAATAGTTTTTTTAACCCAGTATCCGTAAAAATATATTAGAATACCTACACGATAACGTAATCTTCATTCTTTATGCTTACTATAAGTTTTCGTCGTAATTCGCTACACTACAAACAGAGCGTAAATAATTCTTCATTCATAAATTTGCAAGTTATATGTAGTATGAAAACGGGTTATTGATCTCGAAATAGCAAGCGATTTACATGTTCAAGACAGTGGTGGCCTAGTGGTTAAAAGGACCGCCTCTCATGCACGAGGGCGCGGGTTCGATCCTGGCCCTGGCAAGTGCCAATGTGATTTTTCCGAGTCATATAGACTTTCTAAGAGTATTTAGACATCACTGATTAATGCATTCCCAAATAGGGCTGATATCAGGCAGGCGGCTCGTCGTAAAAACAATTAGCCAAAACTATTCACAGCATGTAAGGCAGACCCTGGCTAAAGCTGGGAAATTGCCAGGTAGAAGAAGTAGGTATATGTACATAAAGAATATAATACATTTATATAATTATCAATACTGCGCGCAATATTTGCTTTTAATTGCATAAAATGTTTATTTATCTGCAATCTCCACACACATTTATTAACCTTATTATCTATCTGACTCAATATTTCCATTTTAGTGAATATAATTGTTATTTCATATTCAATTCATATGAAAATAAATATTTTATGAATGTATCAGTTCTAGTAAACTTACAACAAGTTTTCAAAGACAAAATTAACACACAGTAACTCGTTTTTCGTTAAAGCAACTTTTCTTATGACAGCGTAAATGGTAAACGTAAATTAAATACTGAAAATTACTTGTATTTAATAATTAATTTACAAAGAAAACTCGTGGTAAGGACACAAATCGGACTATGGAAGAGTCAAGAGATCTTTAAAATTAATTTCATATTTAAAATACATATGTAATTAATTAATATATTTCGTCCGAAATTCAATATAAAATTACCAGATTTTCTTTTTATTTTGATAGATTATTAAATATTATTTATTATTTGTATTATGATAAGTAAACACATAGCGTCAATGTTTTTTAATGGCCGTCTCTTGTTTCTAGCGTATACCGTTTTCCGACCTACAATATGGCTTCCTGTGTATAAAATGGGAACAAATTAATCCATTTAGGATTCAACGATTTATTAAGACACAACTATGGCGCGATAACAACTATTTGAACCTAATTCAATACGAGTTACGTGAGTTACTTCGATAAGATTTGGTTCAATATTAACCCAGTTTTATAGATAACTTAAATATAAAATCGATAAGTTAAAATATATTTACGAATTTTTGTTTAAAATATTGTCGATAAATTAATGATAATAATTTAAGCTAATTGTTCAACAGTGAACTAATTAGTACATAATGCATTTTACAGTAGAACCTTCTTTAAATGCTCTTTCAATCACGTTAAGGCAACAAATTATGCACAGTTAAAAAAAAATCGTAAATATAAACACCGGCACACACAGAAAGAAACAAGGTTTTAAAGTAAGTTAACTTAAGTAATAGGTATCTAATACTTTTTATTTATATAACATCTAACTTTACGAAATTATTAAAAATGCTCATACGTACATTAGTGGTTGAAATAACCGATATTTTATCAGTTATATTGCTACAGTAAGATAAATATAATTAAATATTATGTAACTACATTATAATTGCACACACAGACATATATATACAGTATATACAGACATATATTTAAATACATATTTAAGTAATAATAATTAACATATATGCACAGTCTGAAATAGTTTCAATAAAAAAATTAAAAATTTTAACTGCAATTATATCTTAAATACATATATAAATTGTTTTAAAAATTAACATCCCATACACATTCACTACTTATATACTTCCTTGTACATAACAAGTGCCTTTTACTGAACCATTTGTACGTAATACCGCGAAAATCACGTAAACATATAAAAATAAATTATCCATTACAGTATGTAAATAACATAGCAAGGAATATAATGCGCGTAATATTTTCTAACTTTACGATTGCTACAAGTTTTTACTAGTAATTCAAAGTTTACGAAAGAAAATTCGAAACGAAATATGTACAATTGTACAGTCCAATAATGAACTAATAATAAAATTGACATTACTAAAAGTATAAATACACATGTCAAATGTATTCCGTTCAAAAATTTAGAGTAATTTAAATTTACGTTCAGAAATTGCTTCTTATATAAATTATAAATAATTAAGAACATAGCTTCCGTAACTAATAATATAATCGTTTTTTTTATAATGTTTCTTACTAATCGATTAATTAATTGACCAAAATGAGTTATTAGTAATATCAAATTACATAATATTATAAAGAAGAAATACAAAATAAATTCGTTAAAAACAAAATTAAATCTCCATTTTATTATCACAGTACATATATGTACAGTTTTTAAGTATCAGGTATCATGAAAAGCCCTAAAAGTCCATACTTATATGCAGTTAAGCTAATGTAATGTAAACAATATAAGATCATCGTATCTTAAGAAGGCGAGGCTCATATTACTATTACCAGCTAGCGATGGGTGGCCGCTTCTTATATCCGGTGGAATTTTCGTACTGACATTTGAAGCTCGTGGTAATGTTTTGATTATGATGTGATTAAAATAATATATTATGAAGCTGCGGAGTTTGTTTTGTTTGTACGCGCTGATCTTAGAAAATACTGGTCAGATTTTAATAATTCTTTCAGTGTTATATAGTTCATTCAACGAGAATGGCTATTAGCTATGTTTTAAAGATCCGTAAGAAAATTGCTACTTAGTAACCTAAGGTGTAAAATCGAAAACCTATTTATGCGTGCGCTTCAAAAACTGTTGATAATATAACAAAATAATGTAGTACGGATTTGTAGGTCCAAATAAGATCTAGAAAATATCTGCGAAAGCATTTATCT